TTCTCTCTCTCACTATTTTTTGAGTTTGATTTTCATGCGTTATTTCTGACATTTCTCATATGTGTATTATATGGTTTATAAGATGTATATACTATCTGTCATCGCGGTGACAGGTTGTGTTCACTGACAACACGTTAAATAAAATTAACAATAGCGTGCGCGTAGCGCGCGCCTGTGTTGTGCTAGTAACAGCAAATAATACTTTTTTTTAACGTAACTGTTCTTTCTATTTTAATTATATTGAACATATTACTCTAATTATCCTTGACGTTTTTTCTTTGTTTATTTTCTTATTTGTTTAAAATACCAATGAGAAATCTTGACGACAATAAGTGAAATATGAGGAAATCTTGCAGATCGTGGATTCGATCAGTTTTTGGAACAAATAAGAAAACAAAACTCACGCTCTACTTTGAGTGTGTTAACAGGGCTGTTACCTCGTTAGTTGGATCCACGCATTTTTTCCCCGTGAGTACATTCGAGGACATGCTGCTCAACTTAATCCTCTCTGTTATTGGATTTCTTGGATTCATTTACCTGTTAGGTACGTAAAAACAGACATAAAAAAGATAAATTCATCTTTTTTATTTTTTTTTTTTATCAATTACGCAGCTCGATTAGCGCAATTGATAACCACGTTCAACTCCACTCGCAAGAGACACTTGAAATTAATTCAGCAACTGGAACAGTACATGAAACATCACAGATTATCGCATCCCGTGCAGCAACGATTACGCGCCTATTACAATTATCGCAATAAAAAAGGATTCGAGAGAAACGAGAAAATCATCGATTACGTGTCGCCTTATTTGCGAGAAGTAATTTTGAGAAAAATTTATCTTGGTTTTGAAAGTACACTAATGTTACATAGTGTTTTATAAATTTTTTCTAATCTTTAAAAATTCTTTTAAAACACTTGCGAGTTCAAAAAAGCTCCGTATTTTGTAAAACCAAGTTCTAGCATTTCAGGAACTTCTTCAGCACAACTATCAGCAACTGCTGAACAACGTAGTGATGTTTAAACACATGCCGAAAACGATAGCAACACAACTGATCGGCTGTATACGTTCCGAGATCTTTATGTCGAACGACGTGTTGGTCAGAGCTGGCACAATCAGTGATGCATTGTATTTCATCGCTTCTGGCACCGTAGCCGTGTATAACGACGTAGGAAAGGAGGTATAAAGATCTTGATGCACACACACACAATAACACGTGAATCTTCTTTTTGTTTTATCAATTAGAAACTTTTACCGAGTAAAAGAACTTCATATATAGTGTGAACTAAATAAAAAGGAGAAGCAAAAATAACTGCTTTTATAACAGAAATGATAAAAGGTCGTATGTACATGACATAAACAAAACGTCAACTAGTGTTCAATACGTTACTTTGCGCGACATATGCAGATATGCCACCTGGAAGACGGCGCGTCCTTCGACGAACTGGCCTTGCTGATGGAGAACGAGCTCAGAATGGCCACCGTCGTCGCCGTCGAGAATTGCGAAGTCTATATCTTGACGCGCGTCGACTTCCAACGCATCTTTATGTTTTATCCCGACATCCGGAGTCAATTGCAGAACATCGTCCTCGCGTCTGTGGAGAAGATGTCGCCGCTTGAAAGAGAATCGTCCTCGACGTTGTCCAGAAGCATTAACATCAGCAGCATATTGAGAAGAAAGAGCAGAGGAGATGTATCAGGCAGCGACGGAACAGGGCAACAGTAAGGTGAAGTAGGTGAATCTCGCTTTGTTTACAAAGCAACGTATACATATTCATCATTTTTCGTGATTAAGTTTAATAATTATTTTTATTTATTTGTTTTTCGTATTTTTCTAAGAGTTAAAACAGTAACATTGTATGTATGTACATATAAATGTAAAGAATACATATATGTTCAACGATCAAAACATAACATGTCAACATCGAAACGAACGTTCAACGAAATTAAATGTTCTCCGTGGCAACAACAAATCAGTGATCAATATAATAATCGTCATCTTGATGAACACATATGAACACACACATTGTTAAACTTTCGATATCTTGTTTGCTTCTTCCGTTCTATTATCTTAACTCTTTATCTATCGCTTGTGTCAATAAAATAAACCGCATTAAAGGAGCGACTCATTGAATAGATGTATCGATTATGTGAAAAGTTTACATATCGGTTGATATGTAAACGATGTCAATCAGAATGGTCGAGTCTTCCTTTTGTGCGGGTTTCTGTATGACTGCTGATACATAGACATGAGTCGCCAATGTTCAGGATAATCGGTGTCCCGGCAGCCCTTTTTCACGCTAAACGGCGGCGACAGAGTATCGATGCAGAAGGTGCGTCTGGCAAACGGAGTTCTCGGCCGCGGAACCGTTATCCTCCCCGGCGACAATTCGCTCCTTCGCGTACCGTCGTCGTCTCGTACAGTTTTTCGATCCTTCTCGAGACCGAGCGCGATACCCACCGCGGATCGAATCAATCTCGGATCCTTTTCCCTCTGAAGTTCCTGTTTCTCTCGACAAGCGACACACTTCCGCTCTGTGACACGAATCGCGGAATTCGATTTCGAAGACTTCGCGCTTCTTCGAGGTTCTTTTGCGAGCAAATCTATTATTATTATAAAAAAATAATATAATATTCACCATTTTTTATTGTTTTTATTTCAATTTATTTCTTACCGTCGCAGGAGTGGCTGCAACAGCATCGAGATATGTGTTTTTCTTGTTTTGCACTGTCGCATTCGTCGTTCGCCATCAAAAGCTTCTCGCGATTTCTCGGGGCCGGCGTGTGTTGGATCAGAGCAAAGATCGCCGGCGCCAAACCGCCTTCGGAACCGTCGATGTGCGTCGATCTGCGCGGTTCGTACACCGGATCAATCGGCGTCTCCCAACAGATCGCCAGATCCATCCGGGTCTTCGGCTTCTTGCAACCGAGCGCGGGTCCAAACGTGTAATCCTGTTCCTTCTTCGGAACGATCGCTCGATATTTTGCATCTCGTTCCCACTTGGCCGAGCAGGAACGACATCTCTCTCCTCTCTTGAAGACGGAATCGTCCACCCGATCCGGAAGTGGCTGGTGCTGCAGATTTTCCGCGTGCAGTCTTTTTGCCAGCGCGAATTTATCGTAACAGGACGCGATTTCTAAATATACAAAGAACGAGGAAGATTTTTAATTTTTTTTTTTACACAAAATTAAAATCACTATAGTGCCGATATGTTTAATTTTAATAATTTTACATGTCAAAAATACAAAGTAAGACTAATATCTGATTCTCTAGAGACTTTCTTTGATATGAAAAACAAAAAGAAAAATGATGAAAAAACTGTTTTAAAACTGTCACACCGTTCTGTTTCTCTTCAGAGTTTCTTCGAAACCTGGGACATCCTGGCGCGTGTTTTCCCGAAGAAGACGGGTTATTCGAGACGCGTCCGAACGGCGTCCAGTCCTCGTGAAGCTCATCGCAATCCCGAGCGATTGTATCGCCACGACAGTGAACGCAGCACTTGCACGATTCCATGTTCTTCACTTCTATGTAATTGTTTGTTACGCAACGATTGCATAACAACGTAATGATTAAGTACTTAAATAATCACAACAGGAAAGCGCGCATGTTAATTATCTTTCCAACGATAGTAGTTCGGAGACAATCGCGTTCGTTATCGCGTTCATCATTGTTCTCTATTTTCGCGAACACTGAAAAATATTCGAGCATCACCATAGGAATGCCCGGACTTTGCACTCTGACGTTGGTTTCCTTGGCAACATGATAATTCGATAACGGGAGAGAGATCACTATACTTATCTCCAAATAGTTCTACTTGTATCTATGTTTATTATAGTCCTAATGACACTTAAGCGTATTTCGGTCGCATTTTCGTAGTGTTCTGTTGTTTATCATTATGTATGTTACCATACACGTGATCTCACGTTAGAAATTTGCGGCGTTAAAAAAAAATAATCGCGCTATAAAGATATAACTTTACTGTTTTTTTATAGCGCAAATAAAACGAATAAAAATACCAAATATAGTTTCGAATAAAAACTTCGGGCAACAATTGGAAATGTTTGAGCGCGAGAAGTTTTTTTTTTGGAGAGCAGAAAGCGTATTGAGGATATTGAACTTTCGTATCTATTTTTGTCGTTATCTTACTTTTTTCTTTTATAATTATCTTATGGTTGCAATTCTCATAATTGACAAGTGACATGACTGATGCGTTCCCAGAAGCGAAAACGTAACTTTAGATCCGAAAACCGTCATGAAGCTGAAATGTATTGCGAACAACCAGAGTGCGCAACGACCGGGAGGGATTTTGTCCGCGTAATTTGCGGATTCTCCGAATTGGTAACACGTAAAATGTAACACGGAAAATTAAAAGATCGGGAAACACCGATGATTTCGCGGAGCGTTTCGAAATCGCGGAAATCGCGAGTTTCAGATTGTGGGAAGACACGCGAATGTAAATTGCTACCTAACGTACGGCGTATTTGTAGATCAGAAACACCGATGCAAGCGTTAAATTCTCATGAATATTACGAATTTATTATTGTTACGCGCGCGAGATGCATGAAGAAAACAACCATTCTTATCGCGCCGCTTGTTTTCGACTGCGTGAATTAGGTTTGTCGGTGTCGCTCGGAAGAGCGTGGTGTGTGAACGCATTTGTATTTATAAACTACACGGAATATACGCGAGGTTTCTTCTATCGATGCCGTTCTCTCCCTTCCACTCGGAAGAGACCTTGATGTGAGAAACCTCGGTCAAAACTCGTGGCCGGATCACGCGACAGTTGTGAAGTCGTACTCGTTCGACTCTTCTCTCGTTTCTTCTCTTCTCACGTTTCTTCTCTTCTCAAAAAACTATATCGTTGATAAAACACACACGTGCGCGCAAAACAGGGTGAAAAGTAGGGTAACCTACCTACGAAGTGCACGGCGATCGAACGCCGAGGTATGTGTGTTCCGCTGAAAATTTATTTTCTGAGATCGCTAGATATGTAAAGAGAGAGAGAGAGAGAGAGAGAGAGAGAGAGAGAGAGAGAAAGAGAGATTGTGTGTTCCGATATAATTTACACGTTCGGAAAAACACGGCATATTAATCACGTCGAATATTTTATGTTCCATAAAAGGCAAACCAGGCTCTATAGAAGTAAAGAATTAACATGTAGAAGTAAACCTTCGAGTTTTATCACAAAAAGAGTCGGCGGTATCAAAGGGAAGCCAGCTTTGATATGGCTGCTCCGCAGATCTCATCTTTCCTTTGATGATTACACTAGTTTCAAATGCCTTGCGTATCAACTTCCTAAAGACAAAAGAATATTTATGTATATACGACACCTCGATTTCCTCAAGTGATTCCGATGCTAATCAGAAAGCGACGACCATATTATTGTCTTTCCAAGAAGCCAATATATTCATTCGTTTGATCAAAAACTATCGTAATCTCATTTTTATGTTAAATTTAACGGCACATAATATAAACACAGAGATTGGTTTTGCATCTAAACCAAAAAACATAATATTTTCAATAATTTGCATTTTGTTTGAAAACGTTTCTGCTATAACACACTCATTAATTTAATTTTTACTTTTAATAATTGTGTGTTACATTTTTGTTATTCAGTAACTACTAAGTATCTTATGAAAGTAACTACTAAGTATCTTACGAAAGAAAAAATTAATCTTTAAATAAGCTAATTATTGTAATTATCTTATTATACGCACAAGATTGACATTAGTGAGAGATTGCGTGAGACACGGAAAATGTCGCAATTAATTTTTTAAATCAATCAATATTGCAAATCAGCTCCAGAAAGATTGCGGAAAAAGATATTCTTCACGAAAAAAATTGCTACAGATTTTGATAAGTTGTACATACGTGCGTTTTCTTAATTGCCGTAACGAGCGTGTAGTTTGTGACGCTCTACGACGATCCGGGAAAATACCACATGGCCGTGACGTTCTCGGTATAAGCGAATGAGGATTGTGACGTGTGAGGACGTATGAATCAACCGCGCCGCCGAGATCAGTAGTGTAGCAGTGAACGCCGTGCGTGCTACTAGTCAGTAGTGTCGTCGCTCATTCAACAGTTAGTTCTGCGAAAACAACAAAGAACAAGTTTTTCAAACACCTGGTGTTTTGACTTACGGTGAGTGAAAGAAAATGCGCGAAAATGAATAAGAAAACAAAAGTCGTAAATTAAATATAATTCTCAAAAAAGAAAAAAAAACAGTACATATAATAGTGTTGTCATATTCTCCGCATGTTTGTTAAGATAAATTTATACGGCAATGAGATCTTATTAAAAACGTTAGAAATGAACTGTACGTGGAATGAATTTAAACAATTTTTTGTTCACGGACTTTGATCGTAACAACGGGAACATTTTCGAACATAGAATAATACTGACAAAATAAGAATTAAAATAAACGAATTAACATAAATATACTTCTTTATACAGGTGATCCTTGATCGTGTTTATTCGGCAATTCCAGTTTTCAATATGAATACGAAAACCGACGAAATATTATATCTGGACGAAATCCATGACGAAGTGTCAAAGCCTCTGACCGCGTCAATCACCAATCTGGATGCGATTCCGTCCATTCACACACGAGCCGGCTTCGCTTCAGACAATGCCGAATCAGAAGCGGGCGACCTCGACGAGAAATTGAAGGACGGAACACCGTCGGCGCCGCCGCTCGGCTTTCAGAGCAGAAATGGACCGGATGAACCACCCGGTTTGTTGCCTAACCAGCCCATCTTCTCGTCAAACGTAACGCTCACCACTCCCGACGTAAACGTTTATCAGCACAAGAAGACTTTGGCTCAGGGTATGATGGATCTGGCGCTCCTGTCCGCAAACGCGAATCAGATGCGCTACATTCTACAGACAGACGGTCGTCATCCTTACTTTTACCCGTCGCTCACCATGATCAGCATGAGCCTGTTACTGCAGATCGCCGTAGGTATCGGTCTCATCTGGAACAGCGTCTACAATGTCAAGGAACACGAGCAGATGTGCAAGGCGAATAAAGCAAACAATTGGACGGTCATCGGTATCTTCCTGGTCACGATACTCAATGTTTTCATCTCGTCGTTCAACGTTGTTGATGAGGTCCCGGGAATTGCGACGGCAGTTGCGACGTAATTGTCTGGACTCTTCTTCTTATCATACTTAACGCTCTCTATTCGTTACTAAGTGTGAATTATATTCGATGTTTCAGATACATAACATAATAATTTTCGATATTTTTAATAATGCGATATATATTGTTAAAAGTTAGATTTTTTAAGATTAGACAAAAGTTTTTTACAAATAATAATTAATAGAGAATTATCTCTTAATATCTATCTTATCTAAAAGTTTTTTACTTCGCATCTTTTTCATCGTTTTTACAAAAAAAAACATTTACTTTTATAATATCATATTACTGATCTGATCTATACATATCAAACATTAAAAACATCTTTCAGACATTTTTCATTGAGCAAAAAACTATGGACATATCTAAATATTTCTAAAACATGTTTTTACTCGGCGCAGTCGATATTTACACACGTATTGTCATTTATGTTAAGTTCCATGTCATTTATTTATTTCTGATAAGTATGAATATGTAAATAATGTATACGACTAGATCAGTTTTTTACTTGATTATGACAATAGATAAGTTTTTTCTATGTGTAACAATATATGTGTGATAATTTTGTTAAAAAATGTGTGTGTTTCAAACACGTCGATCAAACGCGAACAGTGGACGGTATCAAGTTCAACATTCGTTCCAATTCGTCGAACAAACGTTTCCTATTTTGTTGTAGATTTTCCTCCGCGCGGTTCTGGCGTTCGTTCAAATCGTCCAACCACTTTGCCGCTTCGCTATTATTACCTTGAATTTTGTGTGTTCGAGATGAGCAATCCAAAGCCAAATTTTGAGATTTATTGCTCGCCGACGCAAAACCTTGAAGCTTCTCTTCAATTATACGACACAACAGTGAGCTGAATGCGGCGAGTTCTTGCAAATCTATTCTTCCTGGATTTGGAGATTCTTTGAATTTCTTGTGATCTTGGACTACTGTAGCCTGTAAGGTTGCGTTACAATCATACCATTTCAATACTTGCATATACTTTGGATATTTCGAGAAATATTTTGAAATTTTATTCAAAAAGATCTTTGTGAACATCAACAAAATAATAATTTATTTCTTTGTAGAGTTACATCGCAATATGAAGATAGTTTAAGGATTGAGAAACAAATTCTAAAAATCGCAACGCGAGCTCGAGTCTGTGTTTTGTTTTTCAAACTTATTCTTGTTGAAACGAAACAACTCTTGTTGTTTACAGACCAAGCGTTAGATGACAATTCGACGCAAAAACCAATGTATGTAATTTTCTTAAACCGATTTAAATTAATTTGATGACACATCGTTACCATCCAATCGAAGAACACGTGCTGCTTCCTCAGCCATTTGACGCGTGTCTCGAGTAGAATTCCAATTTTGTGAAATTCTCGCAGTTTTTGTCGATTTTTTTCTTCGGGATTTACACTTGCGTCGTTGATGACGTTCGTTACGAGACGTTTTGTCAACGCTAATTCGGACACGTTCAGATGCGGCAAACCGCTAACGTTGACACTCGCCGCGTGCACTCTACATATCAATCTGCCTTGTTCCCGGATCAATTCGGAAATCTCTTTCAGATTCAGATTTACCTTCGCGTTCAGATGCAAAATATTGTCGAGCAGATCACTCGTCGATAACGATTGATTAGTCGATAGATTTAATGGCGCGGTCTGTGTGAATAATATAAAACGTTAGAAAAATGTTTATACTCAGCTACGTTGTATATTTCAACGACAGAGGAATAAAAATAATGTTCGTAGACACCAACTTCTAGTGAGTCTTCGTGCGAGCATTCGGCGCCCAGAACACTGTTGATCAGTTTCGTTCGAAAAACAACATTCAGACAATCTTGCTTTGCCAGAAGCCAAGCTAAAGCGATTAATAAATCTCTGTTGCGACTACCGCCTCGTGATAGACCGTAAAACTCTATTGTCGGATATTGCAAAAAAGCGAAGTGTAGCTTCACCGCTAACTGAGTATCTAGAATTAGAGTCGACGACAAGTCAACAAGTTTTTTTGTAAAGTAAGATAGCGAATTTTCACCAGTGTGATGAGACATAGAAAATTTTACTAATAGTCAACGGTCCAAGCGCGTCTTTACATATAAAATTGCGCCAACAATATCTCGATAACATATCAATAATAATGAAGATGCAAAAACCTCGCGTGTAAAGAAAGTAAAAAATATTAAACATTAAAATTGTAAAATATATTTTTATATATTTTAATATTTTATATTTGAGTATATATTCCATTTTTTTCAATATTTATCAATTTACTTATAACATTTTTATACGAAATATTCTCAAATATCCGGTCACTGATCAAAAAATTCGAACAATAAAATTTTGACGGCGGGAAAATGTTCTGTTTTCTCGTGGATAATGAAAAGTCTTATTCTTTTTTTTGTAAATAATAAATCAGATCGATTAAAAAAAACAAACCGTAATCTCGGAAATCTACGTCGCTCCGTTTTTCTGACGCAGAAAAGTAACTCAGAACGTGCAGTGTGCTCCACAGTGTTTCTTCCTGACACAAAACACATGACAGATCTGTCAGATGGGTTTAGGTTAGGGTTTGAGAAAAAAACATTTGATTCTAATCGCACGCATATGCGACACGCGCACACACTTACGGCATTTTTGTCCGGATAGTTGTCCTTGGCCAGCCTCAGATGTTCGGGCGTTAAGTTTACGTTTGTCAACGAAGCGATGTATTTGCACAATGACAACAAAGCGTCTTTTATATCGGACATTATGAATAAAACTCGCGCGCGTACATTTTAGTTTCGACTCTACTCACACGATGTCGCTCTCGTTACTTATTTCGAACCATTTTCGAACCAAGTAAGACCGCAAAAATATTATTAAGCGATGGTGTATAAAATTTTTCTTTGTTTCTGTACAAAATTGCTTTCACGGAAAAAGATTGTTTTTTTTTATCTCCGAGTGTTAATTACAAATTGTCTGATTACACAAGTTGTAGAAGTATATAAACTAGCACTAGACAACTAACGCACAAGCAAATCAAAATAAAAAATTTTAACACGTAAGTAACTTAACACCGCTACACTTTATTTTCATCTTGGAATAGAACTTTTAAAGTTTTATCCGTAAGATAAGGTAGGAATTTGAGACAAAGCGCCTTCAGACCGTTTCTTGATCGCTATGTTTCTGACAGATCTCTACGTCACGCGAACCGTTACTTCCCGTTTCACGCATGCGCGTGAAACTTCAGCCTGTCTGCAACAGCACTGTTGGACTGCTCTCCGAGCACGGGAGCAGATCCGAGAGACCGATCAGTGAGGCGCCAGGTGTTTGGCGTATGGATCGTCGTTGTGTTGGATCTTTTTAATTCTTTGCAAAGCTCAAGTTCACAATTCCACAAAATGTTATTGAATGCTCCGTGTTCAAAATGGAAACTGTATCTAGTTCTCGTTCTGGTAAGAATTTGTCTTTTACATGTTGCGCTGCTTTCTCAATGTTCATACAAAAATTAATTCACGTGTAATTTATTTTGCTTGTGAATTTTTTAATTAAAATTTTTATTGAAGTTTTTTTATTGAAACACGCATGTGGTTCCTGTAGACATATGTATATATATATATGTAAAAAATTGTGTGTTTTATTTAATTTCGTAATTATGCAAATGTATGATATATTTGCAGATGAGAAAAACCACTTAAAAAGTTGACTTGGAAAAACGCATAAACACAAGTTTCCGTAGTGCCGCGAATTTACTATTCACTACATTAGCATACATGTAAAAACTCGTAGTATTGATTTCATACATACGCGCATCACACATTTCAACTTTTCTGCAAAAGTCCAATTTGTCAGCGTTTTTCTTTTTTTTTTTTTTGAAGAACCAAAAAGAGCATGTGTGAAAATTTCAAAACTTCTTTCTCTTGGTCTGGTGTGATATGAATATATTTATCCGCTCTTACAATATTATCTTGAAAGTTTCTTTCTTCTTTTATAAGTATGATATGTGTGTGATATATTTTTTTATCGCGCTACAGTTTAATCAATACAACGCACGTGTTTTGCATTGCAGTGTTCTTCTTTTTTGTAGTCAGAAATAGAGATATGTTTTTTTTTAAATATTCACGGCTTTGCATGTTTCGGAAGTTTGTTACGGCAAGTTGTTGTAGCAAGTGTTAATTGCGAGTACGGTGATAAAAGGATGACAGTCAGAATTACCTGGAAATCGCAGCGGTCGTGTAATTTCGCGATTATCGTGGCTCTGGTGGGAGAAAACTTCGTGAGATTTACCGGGGATTTTTATACCTTGCATTTATAAAACAAAGTCGTAAAATCACGTGTTGTATCATTGTTGTAAAATCACGTGTTGTATCAATCGGTTTCCTGAAATAAAAAATGACAAATTCTCTCATACGCGCGGAAACGGCATGTATATATATAGCGTGTATGCATATGTACGTAAATATATAGATTTATTTTGCGCAAATGTGTTGCAAACTAAATCTACATGAAAAACCTGTTGCTGTAATGTATACAACTTAAATAAACGTGTAGCGTACGTTACATGAATACATTATTTTTTTTTTCTGCTCACAAGTTTAGCGCGAAACAAAGTTAAAAACTTTCTATTATCTACATACGTGTGTGTTCTGTATTTGATAATGAAATTTTATTTGAGATTATCATATGTTTTCTAAGTAATTCTATAAACTCGCGCCTACCAGTACAGAAATAAAATGATTCATCACTCTTATCGCCATGCGTGATCCTGCAAGTTTAATCGGTCGAGCAAACGCGTTTCCAGATGTACGCGTGTTTGTATGTTAATAGTAGTTTTATATGATTCTCTCTCTCTCTCTCTCTCTCTCTCTCTCTTATTAATTTTATAAAAAACAAAAATTATCTTTGTATTTTGATTCCCGCATTACAGATGTGTCAGGCAACGCGGCGGATTGAAGGATATCCTCATGCGACCGTCGAAAATTCGCAAGACAATATCTCGAAACTGATCGAAAACGCTTACAAGAATCACGAATTATTGTCGCAGAATGAGTGGTTATTGCGTAATAACGAAGGTCGAGCGAACAGTCCGATGGAGAGCACCACCTTGAAACAGTTACATTCTCAGAGCGATGAAATTTCATCAGAACTGTCGTACACACAAAGAAAATTGTTGGCAGGTACGAAAACAATTAGTGCGTCTGGATAAAAAATATTTATTAAAAGTATTTATTGAGATAATCGATTTTTTTTCTTGACGTACAATATATATAAGTCCATATGGGAAGTTAATTGCTTTTAATGTTACTTATTTTTTATTTTATGTTCCTTGAGAGATTTCCTCATACCGTGTAATTCAATTCACTTATATTTTTAGCATTGCGTACGTGGCTGAGTAAGTAATTGTGTAGTTAACACGAATGTGTGTTTCTTGTAAATCCGTAGTGTTTTCGTCATCGCTTTTCTGGACATTTATTCTTGAAAAAAAAAAAAAAAAAACCGATAATTAATCTGTGCACTGTGCTCAGACTTTGTGCAGAAAGATCACCATAGAAGTCGATTATTTTTATATTTGCAGTAATAGAGATGTACATTTTTGTGTATAGTGTCAAGTACATCATCGTCAAGTTATAAGGAGAGAGACGAGATTATTTTTCCAGAAAGACCAACACCGATTTGCCATAATAACAGCACGTTCTGCGAGGACGTCGTTGGTTATCCGAAGCAATTAATAAATCGCGCGATCGCGCAAAACGACAGTCTCAGATTTCTGCAGACCATCGATCCGGTTGATATAATTTATTAGTTATTTAATTAAAACAAAATTATTATTTTAATAGTACAGTGTGTTACAGTTAAAATTGTTCGAATTTTTGTTCAGTTGCCCGAAATCGAACAGAGAATGGATGAACTGGACGCATGGCCACTTTGTCGATATCATGTAAGTAATTGTAAGTCTTCTGTGGTTGAATTTACCAAAAAGCTTTTGCTATCATCGAATAATACGCTTCTTTCAATTAGAACAAAAAACTTTGTGTTGAAATAAAATGAAATAAAATTATTTTTTATTTGTGCGAAGGAACGAATTAGTTATTTACATCTACTTAATGTGTTATACGGTCTTTTAATTAAAAGTATGCTGTGTTTCTATAGGAAGAAGTAGTATATCCAAAGGCTGCACAGGATAAGGACAATCAGTGGCTGTTCGTCGTGAATCAAGAGAATCTGAAGCAAGGAGTGCGCATCGAAGTTTGCGAGTAAGAAACGTTTTATTTTTATCATAAGACAAAGAGAGAGTTCCTTCAGCAGATAATAATCCTAGACTGTGAATCCTTGATTTTGTAGAGACACAAATCGAGGATGTAACATGATCGATGGTTTCGCGGAGGGTTACCGAACCACTTGCAAGCAGAAGTATATATATCGAGAATTGGCGGCGATGGACGCCAATAGCAATAAAATTATCAAGTCACAGTTCTCCTTCCCGTCTAGTTGCTGCTGTCACGTTAAGTTTACCGGTAACACGCTCGTCCGATTCGGACCAGGTCTGCATACTAATTTAAATCGGACCGTGGAAGTAAAGAAAGGAGGAGGATATGAAAGTGAGAGCGAGAGCGAAGAAAGTTAGTAATATAAAAAACAATATCGCAATAAGATGCTTGTAAAGCGTACTTTGCATACTTTTTTTTTTCTCTTAGAGCGCTAACTGCCGCCAATTGCTAATGAGAGAACGCATGCATAAAATTCGTCCTGCGTATCTCCTTTTAGCAACACCGAGATGATCAAAATATTGTACTCCATGTGGACTTCGACCAATTCTTGGAAAATAATCGACAATGTATCATACATATATAGTCAGTTACCAAAAAAAAAACCTTTATGTAAACTTTTTTTTATATAAATAATACAAATGTTTTTATATTCTTTAATACGAATGACATTTGACGCTAGGATAAGAAGTGTATACAGAGAATTATTATGTGATATTATGTGTGATATAATTAACTTACATATATTTTATATATCGTTGTTATATCTAAATTTTACATAAGTTATCTTAAGATTAAAATATTCTACTCTTTTTTTTTGTGTATAACTTATTTCGTATAAAGCGTCAGGTTGCTGATAGAAGGCACAATTTGTATAAAAAAGTATCGGAAGTTCTTACTTATCTATGCAATGCACATTTCAGTCAAAAACTTAACAGTAAACTTCTCAAAAAAATCTGTATAGTAGTAATGAAGTTACGTCTGGCAGTTTTCTTTACGGAGAAGGAGCATTATCTGTGCAAGAGAGAGATAGATAAATTTATCCTTAAATGTTCTAGTGGATCACAAAACAAATGCGATATTGTACGTATGAAGACGGTCTTCCATTCTTGGAGAAGAGTAAGATAGGACATCAAAAGACAAATCAGTCTCGCTGTGTTTACATTATTAAATTCTCACTCTGTCTGTTAAATTAAATGTTCTCGCCACAAATTTATTGTACCTTTTTCTTGTAAATCTCAGTATGTCTGAAACAGAAAAGAACAAAATTTCATATCGTGAGTTTGCATAATGAGTAATTTTATTACACATTGGATAGATATCATGACGTTTTTTTAACTTTATATAAGCATAATATATTTCGCAGATATACCTTCTCGACTATACCTTAGCACCGAAATCACTATCGAAACCGCTCTTTCTCTGCATCTGTGCCTGAAGATCGGCAAGCTGCGAGATTGACATGTCAATGTCACCACTGCTAATGTGCGCTGTGTGTCTGAAATTTGTGGGTAGGCCGATCATGCTTCTATCTATCCTGAGCCTCTGATGGGGTCTGCTGTTGTTTCGTCTGCCGCTCCGCCTCGCTTGCGGCGTCAAGCAGCATGTAAAGCATTGCACCCAGAGTTCGCTGTTGCCGGCCATTTTATGATATCCTCGCTTTTGTTTCTCTGACGGACGATTTGGACGGTGGTTTTTCTTCTTTCTCCGACTGAGATCGTCACGGATAACCTTAAACCACGGTGTTGAACTATTCGATTCGAACAAACCGAGTGAGTGATAAGTCGAATAGCTTCAGGAATCTTCTTTTTGTCCAAAAAAGGTAAGTGCACGGTCAAAGAGTAAAGTTCGCGGCAGCGTTTTCTTTATGACACATAGGTTAAGACTTCCAAACGAAGTTTATACAAACCGGATACAAACCGCAAACGCTTGTGTCAATCTTCTTGCGCACCAACATCAACGGCTAAACGGGCCGAGCAAAACAAACATTTCCGCGAAACGACGAAGAGCATTGTTCTTCGTGAGAGAAAATAGAGGACAAAAAACATATATGAGAAACAATGAGAGGCATAAACTCCCCACACAAGACCGTAAACTTCAGGGCTTTCGATGATTAACAGTGTTTGCAGCGCCTCCTCAAATCATCTGTCCAGGAACTAAAGTTTTGTACGTGTGGTTTAAAAAAAAAAAAAAAAAAGGTTTTTCCACCATTTTGAATCGCTACAGAGACCGGTGTTCACCGGATCTTATTTTTTATGTATAAATTTTGAGATTGAGTTTGTCTTCGGAGAGAGAGATGTCTCCGAAAGCCAACCGAGCGATCTATGCAACATCGTAAGATGAACTTTAAGACGATCGCAAGTATAAGATCCGATCCTGGTTTTCGGTACGTGTGAAGTCTGCGGCGGGAGCCCGCCATTTGCAATACCATGAGGAGGATCTCATAAACGCGTAACAGAATGAAAATGTGTTGGTGAAAGCGCAAAAAATCCAAAAAGGTACGTGCGCACAATATGTTCGTATGTGTGTTTAAGTAAAATGTACAATCATTGGATGCAAAATCCATCTATGTAAAGTTGGAATTGGAATCCAAATGTTTTTCAGTAAGATTGTTAAACTATCAATATCAATTTTACATTAAAAGCTTGCTCTTATTAAAAAAAAAGTTTAGCGCAACAGGTAGTTGCTAAATATATCGATACTTAGAGCAATTGACTGATAATGTTGCGATAACATCGAGATGTTCGAGCAAAATTTGACAGTTCAAATATTGACTTCACGTAATTTAGAGGTGAACTCAACCGTATTTTTTTTTTTACTTCTTTTTTCACTTTAAACGCATTTTATCACTTTAGGTGCAAAACCTGTTATGCAATAAATTACACGTTATCGGATATCGAATTGGTCTAAATGGGTTAGTAAATATCAAATTTTTGTAAAAAACAAATGTTTCCCTCTTCCGATTGTAAAACTGTGGTAAACTGTGGATATTTATTTGAGCAAAAAAAAAAATAAAGTATATAATGCCGGCTAATACACTTTATTTAAATAAATTATGTACAGATATGCTCTCTTCAAGTTGGACCGCGAAGCGCGATCCAAACTACGCTTCTCACTTAAAACATAAATTAAGATGTTAATGTCTTTAATAGCAAATTGACTGTAAAGGCCATCGCTCATAATTTCGATCATTTTCCCAGCTGTGGGCTCTTCCAGAAAAAAGTTCCTAAAACTGATCCTTTTCTCGTGTCGCTTCGTTCAAGAGACGCGTTTACACACACGGACGTTGTTAGAATTATCACAGTCTGTCTATTTACAGTGGCATTAAACGATACATGATGGTCTTAATCTAAAGAGTATGCTTGCTCCGTTCTTTTACATATCTTGGTCTAATACTCTGTGTTGCGTTTAACACACGCTAAACTTGTCGGAAAACATTTATTTAAATCAACAAGCTTTTTGCAAATCAGATCTTCAAATATTTCAATTGGATTAAAAAAAAGTAATACTTTTCGCAAGCACAAGAGACTTATAAAATACCAACTTAATTAATACTAAAGAATTAGAGAGAATTTAATAGCGTACACACGCACCATAAATATATCGCTGTAATGCGTAATGTATTTACATAACATACAAAAGCATTGTACAGTATAAGAATTTGTTCTCAGACTACGTTAGATTGGGATGTAGCGAGCGATGTTGCAAAATTTTGCTTTTAATTAATGCAGAATAAAAGCATAAGATGGAAGACTGTAAGAGTAAGTGAGATAGATAATTGAGAGGAGCGCAAGGTTACGACGCGCGAAGAGAATGTAACGATGAAAAAAAAAGCTTTATTAATCTATGCTATCGAATGCCATTAATGCTGCATACGAAGAAAATTTATTTTAATGTAAGTTGTATATAACAACGTTTTTTCTTCATTTCTTGCCTCTGACGTAATTCAAGAATAACTATTTATAGAGGAAGAAACAAGAGAACGTTATTTGACTTTGTGAACATTGTAAACGTAATTTTTCAAATTCTTTAACTTCTAAAAGTTTTTATTTATGTTTTTTCACTTGTATTTTCGTTATCGTTTTATATCGTCTCTTATGTAAACGGAGTAAAAATCGGCTTTGTGTCATCGTCGGTGCGTATTTTTTTTTTTTACTATCGACGCTACTTATTTTGTATTGCATTGCTAACATGCTTTTTTTTTAGGCCATTCATGTTGAGCCAAAAAGTGCTTATTAATCGATATTAGTGCTCGAATTACACGAGGCATTGATAATATAAATTTATTTTGGCACTGACACGCGTCAAGTGAAAACACCCGACTATTCAATAATAACATTTAAAATAATTATCTTGACATCAATTTTTTTATGTAAATTGCGCGTGTGCAGAATTTAATTATATTTTTCATTTAGAAAAGATATTAATAATGTCAACCTTTATCCGTCAGAATTTTTATCTCAAAACACAGACAGAATCTGTTGTTTGAAACATTTTCAAGTCAAACACGCTGCGTAAGTAAGAGTTCTTTTTAATTTGAAGATAATGGTTGAGCTGCGGTCGAGTGTAATCAACGCGTTGTAACACGATTTTGAAGTATTGCAAAACAATTGTGTGTATAATATGCAAGTTCAATAACTGTCGGGTGTTTGTTAATTAAACAGCAACATCTCGAGTATATTTTCTGTGTGTGTTCCGCTTACTAACATGTTAAAATAACAACTTACTTTCAAAATTTGTCACTTTATCATATAAGCGCTTATAATCACGTGTGTACACACTCGAAGTATATAATATTCTTGTAAATAAATTTGTTTCATCAGATTTTATTGTGTGTGCACAAACTGTTTCTAATAATATATTTATTTAGAAATCCATAAAATATTATTTTATTTGTTTTTCACTGTCACAAACAATGCAGAGACAAAATCAAAATGTGAATGATAAAAACATCATACTTTATCTCATTTTATCCACTATCGCTCAAAATTTTAAAGTTAGATTAGAAGCTTGTCAAAAAAAAAATCAATACGATGAATACATAAAAATGAAAATTTGTCAAATTTACTTTAAGAATAGTATAAAGGACTAGTGAAAGTTTGTTTGCGACATGAAGACACACGCAGCGTAACATCCTTGATTTCGCGCTACCGCGTCTCTTAATAGTCTTTCAACAAGTTTCGCAAAAGGACACTCCGCATTAAAATCGAAACTTTGTTCTGTCTTGGTGTCGTTATTTGTTTCATTTATTTTTTGGTTTTTTGGTTTTTTTTTTCTTTTTTTCATTCCTCGTTTCGTTTTTCATAAATCATTCACCACAGCTTCAAAACTTTACAATATATAGATCACTCATTCTCAAATTTTCAAAAAGCAAATACAAATTTATTTCTAATTGTTCTTTATGTCTCTACGTATTTCTTAAAATATTTGTTAAAATCCAGAAAAATAATTTAGACGCAATGAAAATATAAATGTAATAACGTCTGTGCAGAAACGCACACGTGAAAGTCCAGCGTAGACGCGTGTTTTCATCGATTGATCGCTATCTTCACTTCGGATTTGCACGTGAATAAAATCCAAGAAGTAGATGACTACATAAAAGTCTTTTTCGAACGCTCCGATGTACAAAAAACACGAACGATCCTCGGCGATTGTCTAACGGGCAAAACCGAGAAAATCAGTGAGTCGGTCGTTCCAGTCGTGGAGCCAATGCGTGGGCCCGTGACTCGACTGGCGCTGCTTGCACGGATTGATCTCCTTCTCCGAGGGCATGTACTCCTCGCTGCGTATGCAGAAGTAGCTCTTGATGGGACTGCGACACATCGGGCACCGATCGAGTTTGCCAAAGCACGAGGCGCAGATGCAGGTATGCCGACAGGGCAGCAAGGCTCGTGACAGCGGGAAGTACTGGCACACTACGCATAGCTGTTCGCCCGCGGTGTTCCAGAGCGAGCCGTTTTCCTGATCGCCTTGACCGGATGCCACCAGGGTGCCGCGATTGCTGCTGCCGGTGTCGTTGTTGTTGCAAGGCTCGGCGAGCGCCAGAGCTGGTGAGCTCAGACCTGCCGACGACATCGCGTCGCTCTCGTCGTAGTTGCTCGAGTTGCCCGTGGCGAGGTACAGTTGCTACGGCGAGAAAATCGCGAACAAGAATTGTACAATAACAGCGCTTATAAAGAGTTGCAAATGTTCCGCGCGATACTTCAAATAATTTAACATCGCAAACATGAGTCTTTCGTCTCATCTTTATTTTTTACAATTTTTTGGAAAGAGCGAAAAATAATTTACATAAAAAAGTTGTAGATTGCTTTTCTTCAGAAAACTGAGACAAATCATTGTGATGATAATAATTGTTTGCATCAATATTGAAACTTACCTTTAGACACGATAGCTGGCCGTTCGCCTGCTTCAAATACTGCGCCAGAATCGAAGTCGGCAGCGTGCACACGCTATCCTTAATATGAACAACGTTCACCAGCGCAACCTTAAACAAAGAATCCGAGCGAAATGATAAACGATTATGAAATCGACCGCAACAACTTTCGCGAGTTTTGCAAAACTTTTAATGCGCGCGCAATGCCAAACGCACGATAATAAAAATTGTTACTTACAGTTTCATCGGGATGAGGATCCCGATTGTCTCTTCGGGTGAGAAAAATTACCAGAGGATAACAGAGCCGCGGCGGAGTGCCGAGCTCCAATTCCGGAGCCGGAAGTGATAATCTCAGCGTTTCCTCTCCGTGCGACTGTCTACTGCGATCTCGGTCAAGGAATGAACAATTATACACTTTCTTTTTTTTATATACATATACATATATCACGCGAAAAGCGCTCTAACTGAACTGTTCGGCATATGTTGAATCGGCAAATTAGCGCCAGCGTTATAATTTCCAATATGTGGTAACACGAGCGCGCTAGTTTGCCAATTTCCGTCACACTGAGTAGAAAACGGGACGGAATTTCTCAATGTTATTTTGGCCTGAATTATCGAAGTTTGATTGACGGTTTAATTCTACGGCAACTTCTCTGGGGTAATTGCTGATCCTGACGCGTTTCAATACACCTACCGATACTTTTTGTTCAATTATTGATTTCGCCAACTTGTGGAAACGTTCCGTTAAAAATTGAAAATCGGGATACTCAAATAGAACGAACAAATAAAGGATACGTTTGCGGCGGCGTGTAATATTGCGCGTGACCTTCCAGAAGAGTTCCGTTTAAGGAAGCGTCCCGCAATGTGCTCCAAGGTTTCCAAAGCGCAAGATGCAGCTCCCTGATGCTAACGCCCCAGATAGCCTGCAACGAATATTCCACTTGGCTCGACACTTCGCATTCGACTTCTGTAACAGACAGTTTTTCCTTCTTCGTCAGAAATAGCTAGTGAATTAATTAAAAAAAACAATATATCATTATCTTTAAATAACCTTAATTAAACTTCTTTGACTAATCAGTCTTGTGAATTTAAACTTCAGATTGTAAATTTAGTTAGTAAAGAACAAAATAATAAATCATTTGATGCATGTGACAAATGAAAATGTCAAGATCATAACGCAACAAGTATGTAGCTCTCTTCGAGCTCGCGTGATTGCACAACATGAATAAAGGTGAGAAATTAATTGATCTTTCATTGTTCTCACACACTCATATTTATTTAATTAGCATTTTAATTTATTCCTTTGTTTTTTTTTTTTTTTTTTTTAATCCAAAGATGAAAAATGTTGATTGATTGAGTAACGATTACTATACGCATTGCTCGCTAAATCTGATCGTTTTATGCACCAATTACACTCGCGCAACCACATATACAACTTATTATGGCGTAATCAAGTTATACAAGGCGCACATACAACGCGCGCTCGCGCGGTTACTTACACGAGACCCGGTATATAAATTTTGTTGGGTATATTTTCTTCTCTCGAAACGTCTCTTCGACTTGTCAGTGAGACGTTTCGAGACACTCGGTTGCTTAATTGCGCAAGCGGCGCGTTTTGCAACGCTCCGTAATTCACCATCTTGTACGCCGCCGCGCCGATATTTTTTTTTTTTTTTTTCCGCCGCCGGCGAAAGATCGCGTCAAATCGATCGCACAAGAATAGTCTCATGGCTTACTACGCAATAAGTCGATTGTCACAGATAGAGATGTGAGTTGTACTTTCGGCATCAGGAAATAAAATACCGTTAGGTGTGAGCGTCTATTCGTACAACGTGTGACCGCTTTAGAAACTAATAAGATAGTACTTTAAATTTATTTTTATTTCTTTTCGATCTAATTTTTGTCTTTTTATTTGTTCATTGTTACTTAATATTATTTCTCCGCGAGCGTTAAAGATGCAATGTTAATTATAATGAGAAAGAACACTCTCTCACCATTTATTCTTATCTTCCGTGTTAATTTGTGCCATTGTCGTAAAAGCTCCGTGTTGCTGTATAATCTATTTTTCATATTTATAATTTATATTTTTAATTGTTTCAGATAAAAAATTAATAAACAGTCCTGTGCTGGGCAAATATAATAACTTTATTACGTAAGTATTGTAGTTAGGCAACGAAGAATGCAAAATACATAACAAACAGTGTGTTTCTGATTCTAAGTTTATGCAAATGGCTTTGTGTAGCGCGTATTTTTATGTGTTTACAAGATGCGTAATATTCCAGCAAAAAAAAAAACACTCTATTAAAGCAGTAAAGATTAGTCAAAGAAGTAGCAGTAATATATCGTTTTACAGAGAACGTCGCTGCTGGCGTGACATTACGAATGTGCGCCAGCGTAGTACCAACCGGCGCGCAATAAAAATGCACAGAAGTTATTCTGTGACGAGCATCTCGCTAAAAGAGCTTAAGAAGATAGCGAACAGTTATAACACTGTAATTAACACGTTATAACACTTCACGACTGGTTACTAAAAAATTATTGCATAAGAAACGCTTCGATTTCTCTCTCTTTCTCTCTCTCTCTTCCTTTCTCTCTCTCTCTCTCTCTCTCTCTCTTTCTCTCTCTCACACCAACTGGTTCTATATATAATATCTACTGCGTAAGGAGATCACGAAGATTTCCAGGTCGCGACACACTTTGTTCCTTTAATCTCTCGAAGCAAATTCTGCAAGAGAAAGAGAAAAGGAAACGCGCGACATCACGCGCAGGCTAACCACGCAAGTTGTCCCCAAAGCGCGAATTATTAATAAATTTGATTGAAATGTAAGATAAGTTGTAATTTAAGAAATTGTTGACGGATTGTCTGGCACAAGTCGAGTCGAGTCGAGTCGAAGTGATTCGAGACGAGTGGAGGCCCGACCGTCGCTCGCGCGTTACCGGTAAGCTTTCACTTTCGTTCGCCTCGCTAAAACTCGCATGAGATCTCGAATGGTGTGCATGCGCACACGCTGTCAAATTCTCGCGAATTACACGTATGTTTCGTATTATCTCTCGAGAGATGATTTTGTCGTCGTTTATATTATTTACGCTAACGCCAGAGAATCAAAAGGTCTCTCTCAATCGAGAAGAGAAACTGACCTACAATTGTATTTTTTTGTCGGTGCTTCTCATGTTTAGTTTTTTTTATTAGCAATTATTATAATAACGCCTACGTTTTCCGAGAATACTTATCTCGATAAGAATACGAATCTCATAAGATGGATTCTTGAAGAAAATTCAAACGTTTTTGAAAGTGCGAAGATCTAGTGTAAATTATTTCTTCAACAGCTTAAAAATGATTTGATCTGCGAGATTTTTTCTTCATATTAAAATATTATTTCGCACCCGCATTGAGTATCTTATCATTCCGAAATATCTTTTTAAATTATTGCAAGAACTACAAAAGTGACCTACGTAAGTTTTTCAAAAGTTTTTATTTGTTATTTTTTGTTTTTATTTTTATCTCACGTATTTCTCTCTCAAATATACAGCTACAGTGACCTAGAGTCCTTACTTGTCGCCATCGCAACCATCTTTAAAACGGTCAAAACCGTTAAAATATCCGTTAACATTTTTGCTGATTAAAATATCGGTCATTACAAGTAGAAAATACGGCTAGTACTACATTTTACGGACATATACATACATATATATATATATAACGAGATGAAAAAAAAAAAAAAAAGAATTCTTTGCCTACGTGACTGAACGGCGATACCGAGCCGGTTGCCGAGAGTTTCGATCAAGGTCGTCGCAATGATCAACAAGTGGCGAGACTGAGAACGAAGAGGGAGACAATTAATTTTAATCGTCGAGAAATTCTCTATTCATTAAGTCACAAAAATACGTGTGAATTTATGCCAATTGTGACACGCCATTATGTCTATCGAATTATTTATATAAGCTACAAAAACAAAGAGGAAAACTTGATCTCGAGAGAATAAACGGAATAAACATTTTCACAAATTTTTTTACGATTAAGAACACACGTGATCTCCCGTGTCTCGAAAGTCGAAGAGAAGTGAACGCGGTGGACTGGTTCGTGATTCTAACGACTCTGACTCTGTTGTCGGCTGCTGTCGCTGGCGCAACCGTTCGCTATTATGTAATGGATTCGATAATCCTGAGCCTACTCCGAACCTACATTAGTCTCTCTTCACTGTGATGTTGGTTGTGGGACCCGTAGTTTCACAAAAAGATGCGTCAAATATATATATCTCTCTCTCTCTCTCTCCGCGTGTTTTCTCTACGGTGAATTACAAAACGCACACAAATTACATTCCGCGCTCACCGAACGAAAGGATCGGTGGTTTTCCTAATCCTTCACTTTACACAGAACGACTTACAACTGCCGATTTTAATGTAAGTAAATTAGATTTGTGCACGAATGACGCGAATGTGCGCGAATTATGGACGAACTGACCTTTCACCGATAGTCACGTCAAAAATAGCGACACATTAAAATGTTTTCTTGCGTTTTCTATTATTTTCGCGCATTATATAGCGCAAAATAATAATTCATTCGCTTTAATATTATATATTGATAATTAAATTTTGAAGTAAACGTATTTCAAAATTTAAATCGTTTAACTAAAGATAGAACTCGCGCGCGTAAAATCGATAAGCGACAAATATTACTTCTTATTGTTGTTTTGAAAAGGTTTCAAAACAACTTTATTTGCTTTTTATGGAAATATGTGATTTATTGCGTATAATAGTTTTTTTTTTGGTATCTCTATTTTGCTGTTTGTGTAATTTATGTTTGGCACATATTTTATGTATGTGAATAATTCATATGCATTTTCATTGTACTTGGAAGTATGCAAAACAAAGTCGAACAATAAATATAACTCTCATAAATTAATAAATGAAATAAATTCGGTTGTAGGAGTCGTTTGCAGGATGTTGTGCAGAGAATGTGCTTAATAATATATATATGTGTACACATATATACGTCGAAATAATTTTTTTCCTCCATATAGGATGCTGGATTTGCATCACGTATATATGAAGGGTACCGTCCTAAATAATTCTAAAATATTGCGAAAAAAACTCGTCAGCCAGGAGTCGAATCTGGAATCTCCGCCTTGCCTGTTAGGCCATCGAGGCACTTGGAATTTGTCTCGCAATACTTAGCACATCTATCGAATAAATTAATCTAATAAATTAAAAATATAACAATTAATTTAATCTAATAAATTAAAATATAAAAAATATAAAGAGTAATAAAATTCTATAATAAAGTAAAAAACTTTCAACAACTCCGCTGGTGTTATTTAAAAGTAAAACACGAATATTTCTTGTTTATTCTATCTTATCCATTGTTTTCACCAGATTACAAGAAAACGTGCTTATTCTAGTCGAGCGTGTTACATGTGCGTGCATATACATACGTGCATAGACACATGTAGGTAGCAATGTCGGAATTAAGTAGAAAAAAATCGTACCGAAAAAAAAAAAAAGGAAAAAAACGCGAATGACGTGAGACTCGGGCCCGATTGACTAAATGACCATGAAACATGAAAGTGCGTTCCACATTCGTCGATCTTTCAGCTATAAGTCATTTTCCAAACTCGTTTTTACGACCGTGCACTATTATTGCTGCAATTCAGATTCCTTTTCGTTTTCTGGTTTTACTGCTCCGCGTTACAACATGAGAAAAGTGTATTGTCCGGCCAAAAATCATTGTATAACAAATAAACTTTTTATAAGTCTCTTGATAAGTGTCACTTCACAACAGCGGATTCAGAGTTGTTATTGAGAGCGTAAAACTGGTTTTTTAAATGCGACAACTTTTGAAAAGCTGTACGCGAATCAAAACTGATCGTAAGTAAATTTGTTGTCGGTGATTTTAATTCCATTAAAATAAAAAAAAGTTTCTATATATATTTATACATGTACTGAATATATATTTATGTGTACGAAGCAAGTACGTGTATAAAGATGGCGGAAAGAGAAGAAAGACTCAGAAAAGATTTAGAGGAAATAAAACGGATACTGCGAATCCTAACTCCACTCTGTAAGCCGGATTATAATTATTTATAAAGAGACAGATACATAGAAAGGATTCTAGCGAAAGAGCTAGATGTAGGATAACAAAATTTGTAGAAAAAGCGCTGAGAGAGATAGGGAAAGAAAATTAAATGTCAGAGCGCATTAAAGAAAAAGAGAAGGAAGGGAACAATAGAGTAATAGAAAAAAAGAGAGAGATTTTTAGAGAGGGGTTTAGTTCCGAAAAAAATAAAGATACTACGAGGAAGGAAGGGATGATCGGTGTAATAAGAAACAGAGAAAAGAAAGAGATTAGGTAGACGCTCAGTGGATAATGGAATAAGAGGGATACACATCTGACACTCGACTTTATCAGAATTAATCTCAAGTTCACATAAATAGCTTCAATTGTTCGTAAGTACAGTTCACGCGTTCACAGTTCTGTTATCTTCGTCACGTTCTTCTGCAGCCAGTGACCCCGACCAATGTTACACGCAACTACTCGCAGTGCGTACATAGCAACTAGATAAATAAATCCGTGCATTTCTCTCCGACTACACCCGATGTCGTTGCACCTACCGTTCTGTCAATATTACGACATTCAACGGAGTTTTTTAACCGTTTCAACATCCGCTCTTGAACCTCGATCTTTTAACGAGAAAAATTTCCAGAAACAGACCGGAGAGCTGTGTATAAACCCGGTCGCTCGATAACGGATCTGCATTGGTCAATTGAACTAGCAACTTCATCAGTGCTAAGTCGTTAAATAAAAAAGTTTCTCGAACACGAGACGTTTCTTTTACGATTGGCAATCCGGCTCGTGACACTGGTCAGTTTCTCGACCAGGCGAGACACGCGCTCGCGTTACAAACCGAAACAATATTACGATAAAGAAACGACAGACAGAAGCAAAAACTTCCGATGTTGATTTCTTCTTCGTTTTCGTGACACGACGAACGGAAGGAAGACAGCTTGCTCAGATTACGTTGACTTAAGAACCATCCGATGCAACTGCCGTCCGGTGAATCCTGATTGTGCAACACACTTAGGATCGGATTACGCGGCGTCCTCAAAAACTGAAGACTGAGAGAAAAAATACTTCATCGTGTAACCTCTCACGGTGGTTTGTGTGACGGCCAGCCACGAGAGCGGAATTTGAAAACGACGCCCTTGATTTCGAGCGAAATAATCGATTTCGTGGAAGTACACGCGCTCGCGTATGATATTGTACGGGCAAATAAAATAATTCAAAAATGCTTGTCAGGCAAATACTGAGAAGTGATTGCCGGATGTTATGCAATAATAAATTGCTACAAGATCTCGACGATTCCAAAACGTTTCGACTGTGAGTCGTCTTCAGTTTTTTGGTACAACGTACAACTCGAACTACAACGAAAAATAAGCAAAGTTAGGTAAATTAAAAACCTACAATGTAGAGTAATTATGTAATAAAAAACTATAAATATCAAATGTACTTCGCATAACTTGTAAAACTTTGTGGCCACAGAAATCGAAAATAAAATAACATTAATTGAAGATAAAATAATGTTCTATTAAATTCGTTCTGTTTTACGGCAACATTTCGAAACTTTCTATTTAACAATAACAAAAACGATTTTAACAAATAAATAACAAAAAAGCAGCAAGAGTCAGCGTCGTTGAACACTTGCTCAAATAAACACACACATTCGCACATACTTCAATCTTCTCGTCAAAACGTAAATAAAGCAATTTTATCTCCAGATTAAACAATTTTATCTCCGATAAGTGTTTTCTCTTATTCAAAGAGCGAGAAGGTTCAAAATAAGCCACACATGTGTTACAAGATAGTTCGCCGTGTCGTTTGTTTTTCAATCGAAAAAAAAAAAAAATAATACAGCGTCATGAAAACAAACATCGTAGTTAATCCGGAGAAATGAATTTAATTGCGAAATGAAAATTCAATATAACTCTTCTGTAAGAAACATCGCGAGCGATTGACAATTGATAAAAGTCAAACGGCTTGCAATGACCCGACTACAACACGCGGTCAAGGTGGCTTGTTTCGTAATTTAGTTGTGTGCTCCCATCGTGCTGTGCTGGCACCTGGCATGCCAATTACACGCGACGCTCTCGTCTTTTTCTTGTTACGCGCGTCTATCAAGATAACCCACTTTTCCGTCATCACGAGACATCGGCGTGTCGAATCTCCGGAGCGTCGGAAAACGCGACCGAAACGAACGCGACGCGGAATTTTGTTTTCTTTTTTTTTTTTTTTTTATTTCTCTTTGGTCAATCAACGGTCGGATTTGCAAATCTCTCTTCGTTCTTATATGCAAATCTCTACTTTGCGCAACCCAAAAAATTTCTAAGAAATTTGTTAGGCAATTGCAGTCGCGCGCGAAGTTTTTTTCCATAGACTCTTACATATTGCTCAAGACAAGAAACTAAAATATTAAGTGTTGTACTAGGAAATATATATACGTCTTATATTTCAGCGCTCAAAAGTCCTTGTAACGGATGACGTCAAGTTTTTTTCGAATATTTGAGAAAAAAAAATAAGACAACATCTGTTACAAGGCACAATTTTGCGAAAACGAGCGAATATTCGCTTTCGCCGTGAAACACGACGCAGCGTATCAACATCCCCCGAAGTCGGATGGGAAATTAATTGCCGAGTATAGACGCAAAGTGTATAAGGACTTACCGGCGTACGTGCTCTTGAAGCTCTCGTGTAGTTTGAAGGTGAAAGGAATGTGGACCTTCATCATCTCCATTTGTGGTATGCGCGGCGCATGCGTTATCACACCACCGCTACCGCCAAACATCAGGTCATCGCCGTGAACGCGAAGCACCATCATATTTCTACGGAAATAGAAAAAGCGTTTATTTATCGATCGGCGATTATAGGGTAAGAAAAATGACGATTTGACAAAAATCATATTTCAAAATCGTACGTGCACCATCGACACAGCGCAACCTACACTCTCGCGCGCACCACTCCTGACTCTTCTAAGTAAGTGCTCGATGAATTTTTAATGTCAAAGTTGATGTTCTACAGTAGTTCTTAAATTATATGCACTTTTATACAGTCGGTAAGTTAATGGTTACCTAAAGGTCGCGCGTTCAAAGCAACACGATACATCAACTAGCACAAATGCTTTGCTAAAAAAAGTTCAGAAGCATTCACAATCTCTACGAAGAAATTAGAATAATCTGATTAAGAAGAGGCTCTTTCTCGATATTTTATCGGTTAAAAAGACCGGAAAAAAGCAAGGACAAGGAAGTAATACAGTGTCAAAAAAGTGTATTTTTTGGTTTATGTAATTGTTTAAAAAACATTTTCACTGTTTAAAAACATTTGATTCAAAACATACCGTCACTTTCTTATTGAACGAAAGTATTTGAATGTGCGTTATGACGTACGATAAAAATTCGACACCGAAGAAATATTTAAGATGATCAAACTAGATAGTTCAACGCAATTAATAATACGAGCAATTTTTTTATTTACAGCGCTACCGATTCAAATCAAGTGTCGACTCGAGTGTCGTGCAAAACTGTCAGTGACCTTCTGGCCTTGAGACGACGTGATTGTGACAGAAGTATTCATCAGTGAAATGATGTGCGAAGCACACAAAAGATTCTGGATCGTGATTTCTTTAAATTATTTTGATATCTTGAATGTTTGATTCCAATTCACGCCAACGTTAACAGACGAGAGACGTTTTATTCCTTATTTTTCATACATTTGCATATTTATATTCCGTTTACATTTGCATTTTTATTTATGTATTTTTGACTACAAAACGTTGCATTTACATGTTAATGTTACTTATATTTAAGGAAAATGATAAAGTTGTTTGTGGACGTTGTTAAAATGAAAGTATAATCAAGATTTTACTTGATAAATTAATCTGATTTATTCAATGTTAATTTTGCAAACGTCGTTGTCATTATCAAACGAAAGGTTTGCTTTATATAGTTTTATTATGAAGTATTTATCACTGCTTTGAGTCGTGAAAAATGTGACGAAAGTTGTACAATGTCACCTGTCGATCAAATGTTGCGATTGATGAATGACATTTCTCAAAGTTTTGATTGTAATTCCTATATATTTTTCTTATTATGTCTCTTTATTTGTGTTCCTTTAAAATATAAACCTTTGTTAGATGTGTTTTATGTTTCTTTAAAAATGTAAATTTTTGTTAGATCTGATTGCGAGGTGTAATGGCTTATGTTAAATTTGTTTCGCCAATTTGTCGAGTTGTTGTTGTTGTTGTTGTTAGAACAAGAGACGAGTATTTAACCGGAATGTTAATTCGCACTGGTTATAGCCGATTTAAGATGGAATCTCGAACCGCGATCGGCACTCGTAACGGTTCATCCATCGATGACGTCGCTTCGCTTTTCGACAATCAAACGGGAACCGGTATTTTCGATATTCGTCCCGTGATTTTACTTCATCCGATGTTATGTTCGAAGCGGCGTTCAGCGAAAGCTAGCCGAGAAAGAGAGCGCGAGACACGGCGGAAAAAAAAAAAAAAAAAAAAAAACAAATTATTGCTGCTCGCAATTTCAAAGTTTCACAATTTAGAAATATAATGCGACTTGGCGACTTTCTTTAAAGAACAGAGACTTGTGGTACACCTACTTTCGAGATCTTCTCGCACACGAAAGCGGCTGCGTCACTCGAGAAAATCAGAGATACTTATCGCCCGTCGTTTCCATTCGCGGAACTGTCGTCTTTAAATTGCCAACTCTCAATCGGCCGAAAGACTTCCACAACTGTGCATACGGAGACGATTATGCGGAAAGAAAACAATTTACATCGCAAGTCCAATTCCGACGTTCCTAAATCGCATGAGCGCTCATCCGATTTTCTCTCGTCTTTTTCGTTAAATTCTCAGAGAGGTCCAAAAATCACAGCGAATGTTTTCACACACACACACACACACATACACACGCAATAAATCTTTATTTTCTTTGTCATACGTACGAACAATAGGATTTCTATGAATACGTAACGGGTACAATGTTTAAAAAGGTTGAGTAACGAATAAATGAAAGCAAAATATAATAATTTATGTTAATGTTCATCTTTTGTTGCTTTCATTATAAAACTTGTTTATGCATGTAGCATTCTCGTTCAAAATAAACTTTTTTAAAGGTCATTTTGTATTTTAGTCGCACAATTGCATTGTGCCCCAAGACGGAAGAATCGTGCGATTTTGAGCGTTCAAATTAGTCGTAAGTTAATCAGCAGAGATTTTTTTTTTTTTTTTTTGACGTCCATGATGGTCCACCAAAGTATGAGAGTGATATTTTGTCGTGAAAATTGGGCTATTCGAAGCTTATTGGCCGTTGCAAGATCGCAGAAACCAGAACTTTGACAAACTTGCGATTTCTGCCTTCTGATCGTGCGATCAGCTGTTCGCGTTTGTAGAACGATCTTTAAGTCTCTTTTCCTTTATATATAAATAATTCTCTTTACGTGATAGATTATATGCAAAATTGCACTGTGTGCACAACTATTTACTTTGTTCAAAGTCAGCTTTGAAGTTTTGATACGCGAACAACAATTGTTTTCCACTTCAACATTCACATATGAAATTCAATTAATACGTGTATTCTTGTTGCTGAGCGACGATCTCACAACAATGTCAATGCATATTTATATAACGTGCATATTCAGTTAATATAAATGCATATTTATACAACAAGGAAGAATTCTCTTTCTTGAAAAATTACTAAAAAAATGTGCAAAACAAAAATGGAGCAAGAGATTGTGGTGCAAAAACAAGTTTAAATACTTTTCAAACACAGAGTTTGATGTAATAAGTGTCGACGTATAAATTGGATCGTTTTAAATCGCAATAAAATTTATGTTATATTCCACAAAAACATCATTATAACGCGAGATAAATGCGCGAACGTTAATCTCTTATTAGTATACAGCCAAGACGCAAGAAAGATATTAGTCACGCCACGCGTTTGTTCGCAAAAATTAAGCTGACAGTTGAAAGACACACATTTGTATAATAATACCACATCAGGGAGAACGAGAGACTCGGCTATGACAAATCGTCAAACGGCGCGATAAGCGTTCTTTACTCGCGATTGCGTTTTCCGAGAACAGTCGCGGAATTGCTACAGATAACAGGCACTTATTGTTAACACCCGTTATCGCGACACATGACGCGCACGTCTTTCTCAATAAAGCCAAAACAAAATTCTTCGTTAATGTAACAAAATCGTAGTAACTGCGCAGTGCTCATTCGGATTGAGCAAATCAATGAAAGATTACGACTCCAATAAGAACCGGAGGTTGCGACGTGTGGAATATTTTTTTTTTTTTTTTTTTTAATTGAACAAAAGAGTAAATTCTTCGCGTTGTGTTCAACGCGCACGTCTTTGCTAACGTATCTCTTACAGCTGCGCGTAATCAGCGGATGTACGACGAAAGGAAGATGAAGAGAAAGGAGGTAATGTTGAGATTGCTGTTGTACGTACCTCATGATAAAGAGAAAGACTCCGCAGAAACATATCAACACGGCGAGCACCGAGAAAATGTTAGACAGTTCCGCCACGGACACCAGCATCGCCGTCATCGTGTCGTGTCTCCGCGATTTCCGTCCGTCGCCGTCGTGTCCTCAACAACACCAGGTGGTGCGCCGCCCGCACACATGCACACACATACATAGGACGTACGCGTACATGCGCGAAAATATCACAACGACGACGACGACAATGACAACGATGACAACGTCAACGACGCCGTTTCTTCCTCGCTTCTCTATCTTTTGCCGCGCGGCGGCACTTCCTTCTCTTCTTCTTCTTCTTATTCTTCTTCCCTTTTTCTCCTTGTCGTCTGCTTCTCGACGCCGCTCAATTTATCAACTGTCAACTGTCCCAGCCTTGTGTCCGTTATTCGCGCGATCGTTTTCCGCTGTCCGATAGTGACACGGGCGCTTGACAAGCGCGCCGTTGTCGGCACCTCGTCATTGACGTCTGCGCGACGACGTTTGCTTATTCACGACTCGCGCCGTTCCGCGTGGCAGACGACGAAACGAGTGACTAGTCGCCGCATTTTCTGACACACAAGCTGTACACGCGATCGACCGGATCCCCCGTGCGAAGAACCTGGAGCAAGTGGCGATGGTGCGAGCGAAAGAAACGCGCGACGAGAACTCAGCCCCAGTACGCAATGCGCGAGTGACGCGCGAACAAAACGATCGAACTCACCACTTGACAGTCACGACGCAACTGACCAGGGGGCCAGGGGGTATGAACTACAGTAAGAACTGTCAGTGCGCCGGGATCATACGTGAGCGGAGGGGACCACCATGTTTCTCTCGACCACGTGACTGATCCCGACAGACACGTGCTTCTCGCGGGGTATTTAGCGCGGGGGGCCCGTGCCGTATATGGAACTTATATTTAATAATTTTACATAAAAATTCTTTCAATCTCAAACGTCGAAGTGACAAATAAGAATTTTTAATTACACACAAATTTATCGGCACGAAATCAAACGTCATATTGTTTTGTGCTACATGTGCACGGAGTGTACGAAATATTATAAATTTTTGCACAAGTGTTCTAGCAACATCTGAAACAAAAACATTAGTGTGTTTCTATCATATTTTACAATAATGTATATGACATTTACCAACAATTGTGATATATGCAAAATTTTTTATTTTATTTTTCAATTTTAATGGAATATATCTGAGACATCGTTAAAAAACCAGTCCTATTAATCATAAAAAATCTCGAAAACAATTTGTGGAACCGGCTTGAAATGATTAATAAATGTTTACGTGTGTGCGCTGCTATTAGCGCTGAAAAAAATTTTTCAAGATAACAAAACAATATGCAAAATATATGCAAAATAAGCATGAATATCAAAAATATATAAAAAAATAATTTATTCTAGATTCTCCGATTATGCGATGCATAAAGAAAAAATTGTAGATTGTGAATTTAACTTATAGTAGAAATTAATAATACGGTGGGACAAATTATATCATACACAAGTTGTAGTTTGATTGATCAAAACTATTGCAATTATTTGAAAATTACAAATAGATCTGCATACGAAAGAGAAAGTACAAAAAAAACGTAAATTTAAAATAACAATACATATATCCGTATATATTAATATATATATATATATATAAATAAGAGCGATGCAATAAATGAAAACGTGCATTCGTGAACACAATGATAAAACTTACGGTGGCCAACTTAGTGTGGCCAAGTCGCTAGAAATGCCGCAATTATTTCTGGAACATACCATTAGCTGAATACACCTCAAACTAGCGACATCTGGGTCGAACAATCACCTTGGAGGACATTTCAATCGAGTTCGACGTCGAATGATTCGATATATCTGCTTCGCGTGTCTGTTGTTCTCATTGTTGTTCCTCGAGAAGTTGCCGCTATCGACAGGGGAAGTGAAAATGTCAAAGATGCTCGCGGTAGATTTCGAAGTCTTCGGCATTGTGCAAGGTAAAAAAAACCGATCGGCTCGACAAAGATTGACGACGGATTTTAACACTGTTGATTGAATCTTATGTTATTAATCGTCATATTATTTTGTCTTCAAGGTGTCTTCTTCAGAAAGGTGAGTAAATCGAATGTATTATTCGTCAAAGAACTTGACCAATTAATCAATCGTGAAGAGCCGCACCGGAAATGCAATTGACAACAAACTCACGCGAGAACTTTGCGACATCTATCGGATTTGTGTTGACCCCCTTTCCGGAGTTATCACAATTCTGTATTATCTCCCGTGAATGCAAGCGTGCATCTTTTTTATCGATGTTTCATAGTTGATGCAATTTTCAAGCTCTTTTTCTATTTTGTCGGTAGTTCACATAAATTTTAATTATATACATAGACACAACTTTATATTATAAATACATTAAATATATAGAAAATTTATATTTTTATCAAGAATATCCAGTCCAAGTTGTATAGCAAGCGTAAGACGCGAATTAATATATCGAATAACAATTAAGCTCTTTTACCGCCAATAAATAATATTTTATTTATGTGTTTGCGAATAAATAACAGTACACGCAGAAACGCAGCCAGGAGCTGAATTTAAAAGGATGGTGCATGAACACGTCGAAGGATACCGTGGTCGGCCATTTGGAAGGAGACAAGGATAAGGTCGAGGAAATGTAAGCTTCAGAAGTGTGTCATCGAAAACAGCTTCAAAGTGTGTCACTGATGAAAAAAAAAAAACAAACAAAAAACACAAATATCGTTCTTTCCTTCTCTGTTTTAGGAAACAGTGGCTTCGTCACACCGGAAGTCCACAGTCACGGATTGATAAGGCGGAATTCCGCAACGAGAAAGAAATCTCAGAACCGTCCTTCACAAATTTCGAAATTCGAAAATAGGAATATATAATCGAGCAAACAAAAAATAAGTATTTTACGATGACCATTAAAAACTAAAGAGTCTCGTCAAATTAGTTAATATTTATATTTAATGAGACAAATATTAATTTATATTTAATGTTAAATATTTATCTTCACGGTGGTCCTGCGATGACACGTAGCTTCTAATTTCGGTGAATTTTTTTTGATAGGTCGGAGTGAGTTGAAATTTTTTTTTTTTGAAATTGAACGTCATTATTTATATAAGAGTCAGTATATTTAAATAAATAGTAATGTGATATTTAAATATAGTTGTGTACGTCGCACACACACATACAATCTCTCCTGGCGCGGAGATATTATTCTTTTTTATTTCCACAGTTTGCATCTCTCTTTCTCTCTTTCTCGGTCGCATCTGTGGCCTCGTTTTCCGGAATAGGTGTGCACTCACGCAAAGTACGTACATACAACGCTATGTATACGTAACGTGGAAGCGAGAGAGGAGCAACTATAGGCGCCTGGTGATCTCGCCAGCGTCTTTCCGCAAGTTTCTCATTAGTCGGCGAACGAGCGCGATGACGAGCGCAGTTCTCCGAGATCTTTCTCCGAGCATCTTTCCGCGTACCGTCGCGTAATCAAAGTGCATCCCTTTCTTTTTCTCGTTCTCTTCGGTAGAGAATAATATTATCGTTCCACCGGAGAATGCGCCGTGACTCTTCGAGTTTCAGTTTTACGCTCATCGTCGCAAGTCGATCTCCAATCTCTCGATCGATCTCGCGATCGGATTACCGAGAGCCGAGAGAAACGATCAAATTCGCCGCGTACAGACGTGACGCATGCAATGATCGACGAGGAGAGAATGTGACGGGAATAGAAGGATAAAGCAGCATGAGATGTTTTGAGAGCTTCTTCAAGCACACCTGGCGGCCGCAGCAGGTGTATCAGGTGAATAAAATTTCGCACGTTTCCGCGTGTGTTGTTGTCAATATTTTTGTTTTATCACGAACGCTCGTGATCAACGCGCGGGTGTAATCGTTTCGGAAAAATGTGTCGCGTTGCGCAGAACACGCATTTTGATATTATTTATTTTGTTCGCGAAACGTTCGGTGTTTTCGTTGTGTTAATGTAGCGCGAATATTATCAGGTAACGACGCAGATATTGTTGTATTATGCATATCGTCGGTTTTAAATATCTTGATTTTTATAGCTGAATTTAAAATAAATTTTGTAATATTCATAAGAGATTCAAACATATGTTACAACGCACTTTAACATATGGTCGCTTCACTTTATTCTGCTTTTTTTTTCTTTTTTCTTTTTTTTTCTTTTTTTTTGCTTCATAATATACCGCTTTTTATTTCAAATATCTAATATTACGTACTAGATGATGTATACATTTATAGAAAACTACTGGACAAAAGAGATAAATACGTGTGCATTCTCTGTAATATAATAATACACGGAAGTCGCAAAATACCGTGTTGCGCAAGTGCCCCATCACTCGCGTGATTCCCTTCCACACCGGCGCGGCGCAGATATGTTCGCAATTATTGTTCGCAAAAGCAGAAACACGACACGGTGTGTTTTCGAAAAAAAACTTTGGAGACTGCGTCGCGCAAATCTTTCCCTTTCTTCACGGGACACTGAAAGCAAAAGTAATAAAAACGCTTATTGCGCGATAGTAAATCGCAACTAGCGATCGAACCTATTGAAAACTTCGTCATTGTTGAGATACTTAAATGTAAACCTCTCTCCCAACTCTTCGAAGTCTCTCCGAGACTCGCGTATTTATCATTATACATGTATATATGTATATGTATTTGCAGTTATCCATAGTTACCTCACGGTTGCGCGTGAAGTCAGCGCACACAACCGGTTTCTTTGCTTCTACGAATAAATATGTCTAGCATATTTCCTGTATTTTTTTTTTTTTTTTTTTTTTATCATTATAATAGCGCATAGTGCGCATCTTAGGTTTGTTCGCGTCGCATGCCCCAACATGCTCCTATTCGCTCCAACGCGCTGTTTTTTTAATTAAACTTTAATGAAACTTCAAAACTTTTTTAATAAACTTTTTCAATAAAAAAAAGTCGCACTCAGTGCGCACTGGTGCAGCCTATCGAATTCGCTGTTAAGGCGCGTTTGGGGCGAGTAGGAGCATGTTGGGGCATGCGACGCGAACAAACCTCTTATGTCTTCAGTGTATACTCAAGTAAATTAAATAAAAACCCATGATATTTTTATCCACTTTTTTACCGCGACCTGTTTGATTGCGTCCGCGTATCAGTAGCGTGCAAAAGTGACAGGCAAAGGTATGTCGAGATATCTAACAACTAACCAAACAATTTTACGTATCAGTCGTTAATTTGAGGTAATTCCCGTTTACGCAATGAGAAAAAGTTAACAAACGATGTATTCTTTCTTCGAAGACTGATGTAAATTATATAGCGCTCAAGGTATCGCCGATTTTTTTGTAGAACATTTACTTGTATACGCGCAAACACATTTCTTATTTAAATTTTTCATTTAAATTGTAAAAATATTACAACAGTTACAAACTACTGTTATATATAGACTGCTATTTATATATAAATATATGTAATAATAGTATTAAAAAATGTGTAATACATATAAAAATAATATCGCATAATTTTAATATTTTCTTATCAAATAAACAACCTAGAAAATTATATATAAATTGAACTACATATATAATTACTAAATTAAATTATATATATTTTATATTAAACTATATACATGTATGTGTATAGTTTTTGTTCACATTTATATTTTCGATCGATCAAAGGCTGCGAGATACTAATAGATTTCGATGATAGAAGGGGAAAGAATCGGCTTATTTGTTAGTTGGTCGCGGGGTCGCGGTTGATAAGCGGTGATAATGACTTTCGCTCGACGAAACTGTTCAGTTCCTACGGCGATTTGAGCGAGCAAGTTGTGCCGACGAGAGCTCTCTTTACTTCGTACAAGACAACGCGCACAGTATAAACATTATTATCTCGCACGTAAAAAATCTTCAGTTCAAAAGTGACAGCTTTGAAATTCGTGGATGTTTTTTTTTTTTTTATATGACGCAACAGTACTTCAAATATGAACGGTGGCAATCGTCGCGATAAAAAATGAGCACACTTTCGATAACGTGAGTATAAATTATATGACGTGCGCGACGACTATCTATAAAGAGATAAGATTATTAAAGCAAAAGAAAAAGAGTTAATATTCTATCAAAATTAGAAAAAAAAAAAAAAA